TGAAACCTGCAAGCTCTCTTCATTCCAGGACTTTCCTGGTTCATGGTGCAAGATGCTTTCTGAGACTCGAAAAGAGTTATGTCTTATCTACAACCTACTTTCTTTTTCAGGTACAGCAAGCGTTTGAAAGTCCAGAGACAACAGTCTAAATGCCCACCATAGAACAAGTGTTCGTGACAATATATTTCTACCTCTTTCCTGGCAATTGAAAATGGTTAAGTATTGAGAGTTGTTGGTGGTGTATGAAATAAATGAGAGTGTGATATTGGAGGTGAGGTCCGATGACCAATGACAGTTGAGTACTTGGACGGCCAAATTAGTGTACCTTGTTGATGCAGTCTGGTGATTATCTGGTATTTTTTTATTTGATTTTTTTTTACATTTGGGTTCCCCCAACTCTACAATTAATTAGGCAATCAATCAATCAAGGATGTAAGGAAAATCAAGACTGAATGTGATAATGAAAAGCCCAGGGTAGCATTTATTAAAATAGAAACATACTCCTGCATCCATTACTATTTATATTCATTTATATCTCATACTCTATCCTTATCTTTTTCTCTCTTTTTCTTACACACACACACACACACACACACACACACACAGAGAGAGAGAGAGAGAGAGAGAGAGAGAGTTACCAAACATTGCATCAAACTCTGAACAAAAATGAGAAAACAGAGGCACTAACTCTGCAGAAAGCAGTATGTTGATTTTCTGAGTGAGGATACCACAGCAAATACCACATTACTGGTATTCAGGTACCCTTATCAGATAGTACAAAATAAACCCTACAGTGTACAGTTTGTGTTGATCCAGTCTCTCGTTCTCAGAATGCTCTCACAACACAGATCACAAATCACTCAGAGATTGTTTTCAGACCCTCAGCCCTTTCCAGAAGTTCCTTCAAGCTCTCATGTTAATAGATATACTTTATTTTTGTTCTTTTAATCAAAATGTTATAGATTGGGTACATTGAATCTGGACCAAAAGAGTAGTTTATTCACTCATAGCATCTTCATTTAACACTACATTATAAGCCTATTATCAATCTCCATCTCAGATACATACTTAAATTATTATTATTATTATTATTTTTGAGATGGAGTCTTGCTCTGTCGCCCAGGCTGGAGTGCAGTGGCATGATCTCGGCTCACTGCAAGCTCCACCTCCCGGGTTCACGCCATTCTCCTACCTCAGCCTTCCGAGTAGCTGGGACTACAGGCGCCTGCCACCAGGCCGGGCTAATTGCTTTTTGTATTTTTAGCAGAGACGGAGTGTCACGTGTTAGACAGGATGGCTACGATCTTCCGACCTAGTGATCCGCCCGCCTTGGCCTCCCAAAGTGCTGGGATACAGGCGTGAGCCACCTCGCCTGGCCTATATTTTATACTCAACTGTGTAAAGGTTTTCTCAATACTTCCAATATTTGCCATGCACTCTTTTACTCTTGGTTTCTGACACTCCAGTCACAATATTGCATCATTTCAGCATAAGAGTTTTCAGTGCTTGATCCATCCAATGGGGCTACATTTGTACGTTTAATTGTTTGTTTGACTAATATTTGCAACATTAACCATGTACCAGGTTCTGTTCTAGATGCTTGGAATATGCCAGTCAACAAAGTAGCTAGATTCCTTACACTCAGAAAGTTTATATACTAGTGAAGAGAAACATTCTCTGAATACATAAATAGGTAGATATATCACAAGCTAGATGCAAAAAATAAATAAATAAATAAATAAATAAATAAATAAATAAAATAAGAGGAAAAATAAATGAAGACAAAGAAACATACAAAATGATGGATGCTGTACTCCTATAGATATTGCACTCAGGAAAGCCTTCCTTGAAATAATGAAATGAGAACAAAGAATGGACAGAGTTGGAAAGTGAATCATATGGTTCTTATTCAGGAAAAGTGTCCCAGCACAGAATATAGCCAGTGCAAATGCCCTAGGGTAGCAATGCACTAAACATGTTTAAAGAACTGCAAGGAGACAGTGTGACCAAAAGAGAATGTGAGTGGGGAAAATGGCAGAGACAAATTAGGAGAAGCAGTGTGAGGCCAGATCTCATGGTTCTTGGTTATCACATGGTAAACCTTTAAAAACTACTATCTCAGTGAGACAGGAAGCCTTTCTAGTGCTTTAGAAAAAAGAAGTAACATAATTTTACTTAGATTTTATGAAGATCACATTTTAGTGAAAAGATTAACAGGTTCACAGATGGAAGTCAAGGGAAGTGTCAAGAGCACATGGAAGAGGATGGAAGAAGAATCATGATGAGGAATGGGAAGAAGGAAGCAAGGGGTGACTGTCTTGACCTTCTGTTCTTTCTCTCCCCAGCAGGAAACCACAAGCAGCCAAGCCCTCCTTTATCAACTTCAAGAAACACCTTTACTGGTACAGATTGCATGCTTAACATTTTGTATTTCAATAAAGGTGAAGACAAATGAACTGTGTCTTTTTCTTTTTCTAATAGAGAATATAATTTCACTGAAAATGGTGGGTGAGTCTAAATGAAGTGGAAGAAGCTAACCGGAGTTTTTATCTTTATGGCTCGCATAATATCCAATTAAGAAAACCGACTGCGACTTAGCCCCAACAATAGGATGAAAGCAGATGATGCCGAAAACTATAGTGACATAGCACCTCGTACCCATTAGAATGACTCCCATCAAAACAAACAAACAGAAAATAACAAGTGTTTGTAGGGATGTAGAATAATTAGAACCCTGTGATCTGTCGGAGAGAATTTCAATTGGTACAGCTACTGTGGAAAGTTGTATGATGGTTCTGCACAAATCAGAAGTGGAGTTACCCTATGATCCAGAAATTCCATCTATGGGTACGTACCTAAAATAATTGAATGCAGGATCTCAAAGATGTATTTATACACCCACAATCATAGCAGCATTGTTCACAATATCTAAAATGTGGAAGCCACACAACTAACGAATAAATGATAAATGGATAAGCAAAATGTGGTATATACTCATAATGGAATTTTAGCCTTGAAAACGAAGTTCTGACATTTGTTGCAATATGAATGAAACTTGAGAACATTAGGCTATGTGAAATAAGGCAGCAACAGAAAAACAAGCACTGTATGATTTCACTTACGTATAAGGTACCTAGGGTATCCTATTCATAAGGAGAGAAAGTAGAATGGTGATAGTCAGGGACAGTGGGGAGGAAGAAATGGGGAGTTATTATTTAATGATATAGAATTTCAGTTTTACAAGATAAAGAGGAATTCTGGAGGTAGATGGGAGTGACTGTTATGATATTGTGAATATATTTAGTATCACCAAACACTACATGTAAAAATGTTAAGATGGTCAATTTGGGAGTATGTATTTTTACTACAATAGGAAATTGGGAAAAAATGGTGCAGAGGTGAGAAGAGATGGAGTAAATTGTACCTGGGAAACTCTGATCAACTTACACAGAGGAGAATTAAGCTACTATGCAAAATTGATGAAAGAAGAAGTGTGAGTTAAGTTATTATATTTCAAAATGAATCAAGGAAATAATTGGAAATCACACTATTATCAAATATTAGATAGAATAGGAGAAAGAACTGGCAGTGTGAATGAGCTACATTTCATTTTTCATATGAGACAGATAGCATTGTTTGTAATCTTTATATCATGAAATAGATCAAACAGGCATTATTGGTTGTTTCAAAGACTGTCATTAAAAAGTAAGGCAAATAACTTAGAGAAATTACACCTCGTTTGTGGGACCAAAGATAAAAATCATAAAAATCTGATTTTTATTGCAGTCTTTTCTGTACTACTGACAAAACTTTTTAAAATTATAATCTATCCACATTTTAAATAGTATACAGCCATCAAAAATCAGATAGTGTTTGATGTGTTGAGTTTTTTAAATGTTTGTCACATATTGTGGAAGTTAAATTAAGCAAATTATCAGCAATATAATTTTAAGATACTGCCACAATAGAAAAAAAATCTGTAGGTGATTATGTGTCTGTTAGTTATCTAGTGTTGAGTATCGAAACGCCCTGAAATACAGTGGCTTCACACAAGAAGCATTTATTATTGTTACAAGGTAGCCGGTCAGCTGAATATTTCTTTTCATCACTGCTGGGATTGTGTCTGAGACCATCTGTGTGTAGGGTAGGCATCTCTGCTGACAAGGCTGGGATATCTCATAGGTTGGGAAAACACCTGGCTGGAGGCTGGTATAGGATGGCCTTGGCTGAGATGACTGGGCTCTTCTCCACACGAGGTCTCTATTCAGCTAGGAATCTAGCCCAGGCTTATCCCCATTTAGCTTCAGGTGTTCAAGAGGGAGAAGGGCACAAGGATTTGTAAAACTCAGGCTGGAAACTCCATCAGATCGCTCTGCTGCATCATGTTGGCCAAAACCTAGTCATAAGGTTAGTTCACAATTAAAGTGAAGGCCAAAAAGGCTAGGAGGCCAATGATTAGAGGCATGAATAAAATCAGTGTCATATTAAGTGTTTTATAAAATTATAGAAAAAATTACACACAAAGATGCAAGGTACGCATATAACTGTGGTTACATTGTCAAGTGACATTAAGGAACCTAGATGATCTTTTTCCATTTTATAAACTTTTCTTGTTCGATTTTAATGGCACACATATATCTATTTCAAAAATAAGTGAGTCTCTTGTTCATTTATTGAATGAAAATACATTAATCTCATGAATAAACAACATCCCAATTTAAAAGTGAGTGGATCTGGAAAGAGAAGATAAGAGATAACTTACGTGGGTTTTTCAAACAGTAAAGGGAGTATCACCATTTGCCAGTCCTCAGTCAACCTCTTTCTCTTACCTTCCAAAATCACACTTCCAGGGTTGAGGAAGTATCAATGAAGTAAAGACTCCTGACCATTTCGAGGCTGATGGCAGCAGAGAGACAAACGGAGGTTTAATTTGATTTATTAACAGGCTAAAAATAGATGAGAAAAAACAGAATGCAGAGACGTGTTCTCGTGCAAGTGTGCATGCTTTCATTCTGATCACTTTGTTATATCAAATACAAAAAACACCTTCTGCTTTCTCTTTTCCAAAAGAAAGCCGTTATACATATATGAGATCAGGAGTCTAATTTTATCTTGGCAAAGAGAAAGAGAATTTGAGGACCTGTAGTTTTCCATTTAGGGTGGTATCAACAAGCTGGTCCATTCAGAGGAGAGCAAGCCTGTTGAAATTGCTTTCACTTTCGTAGCTTTTTCCTTTCCAGGGAGCAGTAGCAGCCATGGCTGGTGAGTGGCTTCAGTTCTTCTGTTGTTTATGGTTGTACTTTGAGAACACTATAGTTCAAGGGAAAGAAGGAGGCAGACTGGAGAGGGTTCTCCCAAGACCTAATTATTTTACTCTGGGTGTAGCGGGAGATATGTGAGCTTGGTCACAGCACTAAAAATGCAAACCAAGTGTCTTCATGAATATGTTACAACGTCTCAAAAAAAAAGAGAAATGTAGACACATCTGGATCTCTGTTCTTAAACTTTTCCTTTGATTTTTAGACTCTTCTTTTAACTCATACTGACCTGCAGTTCTCACCCATTTTATAAGTGTTCTGTTACGGTGAGGGTGAGAAGCCAGACGGTTGAACAGAATAACTTGCATTTCCTCCATATTTCTACTCTCTGTGTGAACTTTCAAATACAGCAGCAAATGGGTCAGCTACAATATGTACTTTCAGTCTCGGCATGCCGAGCTTCCCTGTCAGCCTTGATAAAGGAAACAAAAAAGGTGTTATTTTACAGATGAATGCATTTATGTTTTACTGCTGCACATATTGAATATAATGTCTTTTCAAACTAGTTTTTCAAACTAGTTATTGATAAAAGTGAAAGAAAATGAAGAGATCGTAGGAGATGCAAAGACTAAACTGAGTCAGCTGTCACTAAGTTCCTTAGCGAATTCACTTTGCTTCTCTGAATCTATTTCACCATCTATGGAAATGGCTAGGTGAACAAGACAGGAGCTTCTCCACGTGTGGTCCTTGCACCAGAGGTTTTGGCATCACCTGAGAAACTGTTAGAAGGGAAAATTCATGGCCCATTCTCACCTATGAAATGAAAATTGTTTGCACTAGGGTGCAGCAAGCGCTGCTTACTAAGCTTTCTAGGTGATTCTCATGCACATTAAAATTTGGGAACCACTACCCTAGAAGAGGCTAACTAAAGTTCTGTCTATATCTGAGATTCTATCATTCTCACAGACAAGAAACCATCCAAAGATGATCTGGTCCACATGGTGAAGTTGCTGGCCAGGAACGTTCTATATGGCATTTTTGATGACTTGAGGGAGAATGGGCTATCTAAAGTTCTGCCTATATCTAAGATTCTGTCATTCTCACAGATAAGAAACCATCCAAAGAGGATCCAGTCAACATGGTGAAGTTGCTGACCAGGAACGTTCTAGATGGCATTTTTGATGACTTGATGGAAAATAATGTGTTAAATACGGAAGAGTTACACAATCTAGGAAAAGGTTTGAACTTCATGGTGAACAACGCTGGAAACCTAGTTGATAACATCACTGAGAAAGCGCAAATGGTAGGCAAAATACTTAAGGACCGCCTATTGAGTCACCCAAAACAGCTGAGTTTAGGTGAGTATTGTCGTACTAAGAGCTAGTAACTCATTCTTTCTCTACTATTCTTATTCAGTTTTTGTCTTCTTTACTTTTCCCTTCTCCAAGTGGAGAATAAACTATCCCCATTTTAGCACCTTCTTCACCATTTTTTTTTTAATTGAGATGGAGTCTCGCTTTGTTGCCCATGTGGGAGTGCAGTGGTGCAATCTTGACTCACTGCAACCTCCACCTCCCTGGTTAGAGCAGTTCTCCTGCCTCATCCTCCTTAGTAGCTGAATTTACAGGCACCCTACACCATGCCTGGCTAATTGGTTTTGTTTTGTTTTGTGTTTAGTTGAAATGGGGTTTCACCATGTTGTCCAGACTGGTCTAAAACTGTTGATCTCAGGTGATCCTCCTGTCTCAGCCTCTGAAAGTGCTGGGATTACAGGCATGAGGCACCAGACCCGGCCTCCTGTCTATCATATTTAATGCCACATAATACTCTGATTAACCCCAATTACTTTTACACTGCTGTTTACTTTTTCTTTAACAATCCTCACCCTCATCATTCCCTTCAGTTTACTGATTCATTATAGTATTATGTCTCCCTCTGCTGAAATGTAAGCCCCACCATGTGGGGGATCTTTGTCTGCCCTGTTCATGAACATATCCTAAATACATAGAAATGATACCTGACACATAATAGGTGCTCAGTAAATATTTGTTAAATACGCATATGGTGCTGGAGACATTATTAAAGGCTGATAGCCTTTAGCTATTCTGGGATACTCTGGTTTCACAATGTGGACTTTAGTGTCGTTCCCAGATACAGAATGTACAATAGGGGATATCCATTATCTTTTGCTTAGCTGTGGCTTTGCCCCGGAAAGAAATGTCTGGAAATCTAGATTTCTATTCAAGGAAGTAATAGGGAATTCATGGGTTGGTGGGGTACAGACGTTTCTTTCTCTGTGTAGCACAGGTTGTTGCACTTTTGCTTTGAAAGATAATGAATATTTTAATCTTTCTGGACCATGTGGCCTCTGTCATGACTCAAATCATCTATTGCAGCTCACAAACAGCGTAGACCATAAGTACATGATGGGTGTGTTGATGTGTGTCCCAATACAATTTTATTTATAAAAATGGGTGTCAGGCTGAATCTGACCCACAGGCTGTGGTTTGCTGATTCCTATTCCAGACTGTAATATATAAATGAGTATATTCCCAATTCTTGGACATGCATCTGGAATTATTTTTGTTGTAGATAATTTTTATACATAGATGTACTTTTCTTTGCTCAGAATGAACAATGCCGTTGCATAAAAACTTTGATTAAAGATTTTGATTATTCATTGAATTCTATAAGCAGACAGATAACAAGCTCCCTTTTGTTTTATAGAAACTCGGCCTCCCTTTACACTTGGCTGAAGGCTACATTCCTCTAGAACAAACTTGTTGCTTAGTGAATGGGCCAAATCTTCATGCTTCATACAGTAGCCCCATGCTAGCATAGTCATCTACTCATTAGTGAAAGGGAAAGAGTGTAAAGTGTGTAGGTTCTTGAAACTTAGTTCTGCAAACAAATCTGTTTTTTTATATTGTTTCAGAATATCAACATGAGAGTGAGGACCAGGAATCTGAAGAAAGCTCTGCATCATCTTCCTCTTCCACAGGTAACGGCCTCCAAAGGCCAGATTCCAAAAGAAAACTCTTGGGCCTCTATTGTGAGAATGTATCCCAGTAAAGACCTGGGAAACCTGTGTTCTCAGTCAATTTTCATCCTTGGAAATGGCTTTCAGAGTAGAGCACTGATCCTAAACCTTTTCTTCATTCTACTGCAGAATCAGAAGAAGAAAATGAAGAAAGCAAAGATGAAGAAAGAGCTGCATCAGCTCATTCAATGGCTGTTCCTCCAACAGGTAAATTGCCACCAAAAAAGTGGTTCATGGGAACCCTCAGGCATCGTTTGGGGGTAAGATAGCCTTAGAATGAGCCCTATATTACAGAGGAAACACCACTGCATTGAGGTTCAGACAACATAGTTATTTCTCACCTCCTGTTGTAACAAGGTGTCTCAAAAGCAAGATGAGCACCTACATTCCTGCTCTTCAATTCTCCTCAGAACCCAGAAATGAAAGTGAAAGTGAAGAAACTGAGCAGAATGCTGTATTGGTCCAAGCATCAGCTTTAACAATGACAGGTGATATCTATCCATGGACATATAATGATATTATTTGAGATAAAGCAGACCTTTTAAAGGTCTTATGGGGTAGTGCAAAGAGAACTGGAATAAAAGCTAAGAACATTGTATATGGTGAGCCCACCACTACCACTGACTATGTGCTTTGATGTAAATATCCCCACCTTTCTGACACTCACATTTTTAAATGGAATTCATCATATCTTTAAAAAATGTGTAAAACTACAGATATATAAGAAACTATTAACTGCAGAAAACAGAATAAGGAAATGGTTAAGAAAAGCACATAAAAAATAATAAAAACTGCATATGAGTCACACATTCTATGCAGTCACCAAGGAAACTGATCAATTATCAAGCTACATTAAAGAATTGTAGTGTCTAGAATGACAGGATGAGCATAAAAGATAGTATTGTCTTCCGAGTGCCATATTTTCAAAAGTTCTGAACAAACTTAAAAAGGAATAAAAACTTTTCAACCTTTTATCATGGTTTTATCCACTCAGTATATATTAATTGAAAACCTACTGCATGCTGTCTAGTACTGTGTGTATAGCAGTAACCGAGATAGACAAAGCTCCTGCTCTCATGGAGTTTACAATGTAGTGAAGTAGGTATATAAAAGGCATATAAATAATAAATAGTGTGATTTCAGAGAATGCATAAAATAAAGGAGGATTAGGTCATAGAAAGAGGTGGTTGTGTATGTGTGTGTGTGCACGTCGTGTGTGTGTCAGCCAGGGGTGGTCAAGGGAAGACCAGCGAGCCAGGGTGTTTGTTTAGTCATGACCTCTCCCCAGAGGTGGCATTTCAGTACATACTTGAGCTGTGGGGAAGGAGCTGTGCCAAACTCTGAAACACAAGTGTTCTCTAGAAAGAGGAAACAGGAGCAAGGACCCTGAGACAGTAACGCTCTTGTGTAAGAGGGTCACAGCCAATCTGACTGCAGAGTAGGAAATTAGGGGTAGTGTAAGTGGAGCTATTAAAGATTCATGCCAGGAATTTTATTTGCAACAGAAAACATTGCAGGGTTTTTTTGTTTGTTTGTTTGTTTTTTAGGACAACTGTTTATTAGTAGTTGACGATCCTTACAAATTCCAGGAGTGTTGCATAGCCTCTGTTCTTCCTAGCCATCTATTACAGTTAACGTGCATTCCTAAAACAAGTGCTTAAACTTACATAAGTTTATCTTAGTTTACATAAAATAGTTGACATTAAAAAGCAAAAGCAATATAAATATAATAAATTGACCTCTCTGTGTAAGAATTTGGTACTCCCTTTAACCAAAATGTAAATAAGGTGTTTCCAACTGAGGGTTTTAAAATAACAACCCTCAAAGTGAAAGACAGCTGTTAATCTCCCACTTTTCTCTCTCCATTTCTTTCATTTCCCCTTTCTTACCATCTGTTTCATTTTCTTTCCATTGAATTCTTTTTCTTGTTCCTCTGTTTTTCCCTCTTCTCTTTTTTCCTCTGTTCTTTTTCTCCTTCCTTTCATTTACTTCACTCTGTACTCTCAATTCTCCCTTTAATCTTCCTGCCCATGTTGAAATCATTACATACTAATAATGCCAAGTAAATTGCAACTGCAAGGACATGACCTAATGTCACAGCAGAAAAATGATAAATGATGCATCTTGCCTTCATTTACACTACTTAGAAGTTGTTAAACGAGGAGTGATAGGATAAGCATCCCATCAAAAAGGTCAGTTGAAAGTGGTTTAAATATTTCAGTTAGAAAGACAATAGCTTTTAGACTGACTTTATGGCAATAGAGTTGATGAAAAGTTGTTAAATTTGAGACCTAGTGTTACCGGGGGTCCTTGTTCCCAGGGCTCCCAAGATGGTGGCAGGCCGCTTCCAAAATGGCAGCGGACCACTTCCAAGATGGTGGCGAGCCTCGTGTTCTCTGACCTGGGGTTCCTGGCCTCACAGATTCCAAGGAAAGGAATCTTGGGCCATGTGGTGAGTGTTACAGCTCTATTAGAAGCCATGGGTCATGGAACAGAACCGTGGAACCCGGGGACTAGTGCTCAGTTCAATTAGGATGAACCCAGGCACTTAGCTGTGCAGGAACAATGGCAAGCCTTTAGCCCGATCGGGAGTGGCAATGGGTGCCTTGCTGGATCAGGAGCACAGCAGACATCCTGCTGGATCGGGAGGGATGGAAGTCAGTGACGGGTCTGCAACGGGGGCAAACAGCAGTGGCGGAAGGCGAGTGAAGACAGCTCAGCTTGAGCTGTAACAAAACATGGACCAGAAGAGAGTGCAGTTGCAAGATTTAATAGAGTGAAAACAGAGCTCCCATATAAGGCGAGGGGACCCAAAGTGGGTTGACCTTGCAGGCTCCAATGCCTGAGTTTATATCCTGATCCTTGTCCCTCCTGCTGTGCTCTCAGGCAATAGATGATTGGCTATTTCTTTACCTCCTGTTTTTGCCTAATTAGCATTTTAGTGAGCTCTTTGATTGGTCGGGTGTGGGCTAAGTTGCAAGCCCCATGTTTAAAGGTGGATGTGGTCACCTTCCCAGCTAGGCTTGGGGATTCTTAGCCCAGGAAATCCAGCTAGTCCTGTCTCTCACTAGTTTTGGCAGCAGAATCAATGGAAACTGACTAATGAATTGGATATGGGATGTGAAAGAAAAGAAATAATTAATAATGACTAGGTTTTTGGCTTGGCAACTGGGGTGAATGGTGCCATTTACTGAGTCAGAGAAAACAGGTGTGCAGGAGATACAGATTTGAAGGAGTGCACAATATCAGGAGTCCTGTTTTGAATGTTTGGTTTGGAACACCTGTTACCTCCAGTGGCAGATGTTGAATAGGCAAATGGATGGGCTCACAGAGAAATCTGGACTGGGAAAAATCTGGAGATTCATCAGCATGTAGATAGTATTTAAGAGATTGAGACTGGAAGATGCCACCTGAGAAAGAGCATTGACAGAGAATAACAGAGTGTCTGGCATAGAAAAACACAACTTTTGGAGACATTGTGGGAGAGGAAGAACGAACGACTAAGACAGACAGATTTAGGAAGAATGGCTGGAAAATGCAGCATTACAGAAGCCTAGAGAATGTTTTCTAAGAAAGTATATTTTCAACCATGCCATGCTAAGAAATCAACAAATGATCAGTGGTAGTTTTGATAATAAGTATTTTATTTAAGGATTGAGGATAACAGCCAGATTGGATTGCATACAAAAAAAAAAAAAAAAAAAAGATTGCTTTTAAGGCATTATGTAGAGAAGTAGAGAAATGGGACAATACCTGGCAAGGAAACAGGAAGGCTTTTTTCAAAAAGAAAAAAATAAACCTTTATAGATATTAAGGCATGCTGATGCCAATGGGCATAAGTCTGTAGGAAAAGAGGAAGAGATTGATGACATAGAACCTGAGGCAGAATAAATACCTGATAAAAACCCTTGTGGGTAGGAGGCGATGGAATTCAGAACTCAGGTAGGGGCAGTGACCTTTGATAGGAGGAAGGACACATGTTTTATGCAGTAAAAGAGAAAGTAGAACAGGTGAGCAGAGATGTAGGTAAACTGATGGATTTGATGGTTAAAAGGGGAAATATTTCTTATGCAAAACTATGATAAGATATAGGTTTGTTGCCCTAAGGGAACAAAGAACCAGGGGAGACCTTGTAGCTATTTTCAAGTATTTGAGGACAACTATTCACTAACCAAATTTATAAACTAGCAATCTTTCCAGATACAATTCTATATACTGGAAATACAAATATAAAAGTTGACTTCTCTATCCTAATTAAGGTTATAGTAAGTAAACACAATTAAAGTACAATGCAATAGTTGTTTATGTAGAGGGTATTTTCATGTAAGAATGAAAAATAGGGAAAGACATATTGGTCATGGAAGAATTCATGGGCTTTTACAGGGAAATGAATTAAATGTTTTCTGTATGATTCTGAGGTGGGAAATACATATCAATACCTAGAAGGTACACATTTTATTACATACATAAGAGTTTAAGAATGCCTTGGAATGTTTTGCGTTCCATGAAAGGGGAGATGTCTCAGAGAATGGTAATAATAAAGAAAGGATATTTCAAGTGACATTCAAATATCTGAGTAGTGATTCCACTAGGCTAAATAAACATTAAACTTCCTTCCAAATCTTAGTTGCTGTATTTATATAATGCTAATGTGTTGGGTCTGAAAGATTAGTCCATGCCATGAGCACTAACAAAAACACGGAAATTTATAACGAGGCAGTAAGAAGCAGAAAGAAAATAGGGATGTACTCAATATTTTTGTTATAGGCATTTTAAATATGAAGCAATTTTCTCATTTTGTAAAACTTTTTCATGGACTGGCAGCAAGCAGCTTTGAGGAATGAGAGCCTAGCAAAAGGGTCTGCAGGGTTGCAAGGCAGCAGACATTACTGCTTAATGAGCTACACAATTTTTTCTCTTTCAGCTCCTCTGGAAATCCAGGGTGCCCAACCCAGTGGCAGGTTAAAGCTTTGCCCTCATGCTCATTTCCGTGAACTGAAGACGAAAAGGGCGGATGAGGTGATATGCTTTGAAATAGGGAGTCATAAGATTACTCATTCAGACAAGACACTGGGGACTTACTGGGATGCTTTAACTCTCGTCACAAAGGCCTTAAGATCAGGAAATGATCTAACTGATTGGTCTTCACATTACATTTTCTGTTTCTTCAATCTCACTTTGGGACACAGTCTAAACTCCTCTCCACCACCTAACTGAAGCCAACTTCGTACAGTGAACACTTGCACCTCGTACATGCTTTTAGTCTGGTTTTCTGCCTCTTTCCTCACGAGGGTGTATTTTCATGCAGAAACTTTGTGTCACTTACTATATATTTATACTGGCCTGTTGTGTATGAACTTTGGAGGCAAAAAGGAAAAGGCCTGGGGAAAGTCATTCTGTGTGTATTAATTGCAGATATATCCAGTGATGGAGAAAGAGGGCCGAACACGCCTGGCCCTCATCATCTGCAACAAAGAATTCCACTATCTTCTTAATCGAAATGGTTCTGAACTTGACCTTTTGGGGATGCAAGATCTACTTGAAAACCTTGGATACTCAGTGGTTATAGAAGAGAATCTCACAGCTCAGGTAATGGCTCCAGAGGGCAGAACAAGCTTTCCATTTTTTTTTTCTTTTTTTTCCTTTAGATAATTTTCAACCTCTTAATTGGTAGCTACAAGAGCAAGATGTATGATATTATAGGAATTATATTTTCTCCAGAATAGGATCCCGTGGATTTCAGCCTTCTCTAATGCACCATCTTATAACATGTATGTGTGTGTGTGTGTGTGTGTGTGTGTGTGATTAGATAAATTCTATGTAGCAGAGTTTTAGTGAAAATATTAGGTCTTTCTGATGTTCACAATCTGGGAGACTACTAGATGGTCTGGTTAAGACAAAAGCCCCACACCCTGCCACGCGGCCATGTCTGATTCCTACAGAATTAGCTCGTGAGATTTTTAAAATGTCCATAGCAAGTGACTAAATGTAAAGGCAGGTATAGGTGAAAAAAATCACACACACACAAATATATAATGAAAAAGTTGTGATTCTAGCTCTGTTTTGCATGACCTTAGACCATTTTAAACTAACTTTCTGCAGCTCCATAGTGAAGGAATTTCATATTTTTAATACTTGTCAATTTTATCTTTTAAAATAAAAACTTACAAGAACACCATTGTTAAACAGATTATAGCAAAGTGGCCCTGTTGGTGTCTTGTCATCTCACTTGGCCTTCATTTTATTCCATCTCCCAGCATCTTCAGAAACCTATGGTTTTACTGAAAACCACTGGGCAAGATACTACATAAAAACCCTACTAGCTTGAATATTCTATACTGTTAAATTTTCTAGTTTTATGTCAGAACACTATTTGTCTTATAATCCCATTCAGTCTAAACCATCTGATTCCTTAGGACTGGCTCATTTTTGTGAACCCCATGTACTATGTGAGTACGAACTGCACACGTGTGGAGACTTCCTCGATAGTGACTCAGGGGTCTCTTTCAGGAAATGGAAACAGCCCTAAGGCAGTTTGCTGCTCGCCCAGAGCACCAGTCCTCGGACAGCACATTCCTGGTGTTCATGTCACATGGCATCCTGAATGGAATCTGTGGAACTAAGCACTGGGATCAAGAGCCAGATGTTCTTCACGATGACACCATCTTCGAAATTTTCAACAACCGTAACTGCCGGAGTCTGAGAGACAAACCCAAGGTCATCATCATGCAAGCCTGCCGAGGCAGTGAGTCTCCAATTAGAAAGCTATAAATCTTGATTTTGAGACCCCCAGGAGTGGCTGTGCACTTTTAAAATTAGCCTGGCGTTTATACTTCATTTTCCTAGGGATAAGCAAGATAAACAACATTTCAGTACTATTCCTAGGTCCAGTGCACTTCGAAATTGTATTAAGTCCATACCGTTTTTTAAAGAAACTATAAGTAGAATAATTAGAAACATCCCAATCATCTGGGATGATGTTGTCAACATGGTTGTTCTAAACTCAAGTGGGCTCTGTTTTGTTCCCGGTAAGTGAGGCAGTATTTCTAGTAGTAAGGTACTTGCATTTTTAAGTAATGCCATGAGAAAATGTACTAAAGTAAAGGTATTATGGTAAAAGAGACAGTATTGTGTATGTGTATGCGTATGCGTATGCATATGTGTATATGTGTGTATGTATATGCATATGTGTATGTGTGTGTATGTGTATGTGTGTGTATGTGCATGGGCATGTGTGTGCATATGTGTATGTGTATGCATGTGTGTTTGCATATGTATATGTGTATTTATAAATACCTCATGTTTCATAAGACATAATGTCTCTCCCAGGTGGTGCTGGGATTGTTTGGTTCACTACTGACAGCGGAAAAGCCAGTGCAGATACACATGGTCAGCTCTTGCAAAGTAGCATCTGTAATGATGCTGTCACAAAGGCTCATGTGGAAAAGGACTTCATTGCTTTCAAATCTTCCACACCACGTAAGTGATTTCAGAGAGAATAGTTTCTAGATTTCTTTGTAGGCTGCTAGATAGTCGACTTGGCTATGATTATATCTTATCACTGATAAGAGCATTTCTTCTCTAATTACTAGGATATTTTAGGTGGAGAAAAGATTTAAAATGCTGAGACTTTCATAATTAGAAAGCTATAAATCTTGATTTGGGAAGAAACGTTCAAAGTTAACAGGACTTTGGAAGGACTTTGGTGAGCATCCAGACCTGGAATAATCTAACTACAAAAAGTGAGGTGTTATCTGATTTTGTTTTTTGAATGTAGCAATGGCAGAGAAAGGTATCATTTTCTCACAGTGTAGCTCCACAGTCACTTACCAGCAATTAAAGAAGCCAACCACTGAAACCATTATGCTTGCTTCACACATCCCAGTAACTCTTGGCCTATTATTATTAATCTAGTTTCAGGAAACTAGTTAACATTTAAATGCCTAAATGTTAACTAATTTTGGATAATGAAGTCAATGAATAAAAAATCAGTCCTTTGGCTGGAAAGTCACAATGCAATGCAAAAATAGAGAATATTCTTTATCACTCATGGTCAAAATTGCAGATTTCTTTAACAATCACCCACAATATTATTCTATCAATGATTTGGATAACAGGAGCAATTTTTAAATACTCCTTTGCACAGTTCACAGTTCTAAATGCTCTAATTTATGGATTTCAAATTTTAATGAACATAGAAATCACTCGATTTCTTGTTCAGTAGTTTGCTTATGCAAGTAGATTTCTTATTCTGTAAATCTGGGGTGGGGCCTGACTTTCTGCCTTTCTTTTCTTTTTTTTTTATTATTATTATACTTTTTAAAAAAAATTTATTTATTATTATTATTATACTTTAAGTTGTAGGGTACATGTGCATAACGTGCAGGTTTGTTAATATGTATACTTGTGCATGTTGGTGTGCTGCCATCAACTTCATTTACATCAAGTATATCCCAATGCAATCCCTCCCTCCCTCCCATGATAGGCCGGTGTGTGATGTTCCCAATTCTAGGGTACTGTGCATAAGTGCAGGTTTGTTACATATGTATACTGTGCCATGTGGTGTGCTGCACCATCAACTCGTCGCACCCATCACTCGCATTTACATCAGTATAACTCCCAGTGCAATCCCTCTCCCCTCCCCTCCATGATAGCCCGTGTGGTTCCCTTCCGAGTCAGTGATCTCATTGTTCAGTTCCACTATGAGTGAGAAGCTTGGTCTGCCTTTCTTAAAAGCTTTGTTGTGATTAGGGCTGTTGTTTGTGGCTGCATGTGAGCACTGAGGGGCTAGAGGACACTCTGAGTCCATCCTGGGGAATAAACAACTCAAGTGGCTTCCCTTCGTCATGTATTCCAGTTTTAATAAGATTTTATTTGAAAAATAAGTTCTACACGTACAGCTGTTAAAGGAAGTTGAAGAGGTATATAAGGCCTGGTACAAATTCTGAAAGTATACTTAATTTATTTGGGGAAATACAATACAATATGCAAAATTCTTCCTTCCTTCCTTCCTTCCTTCCTTCCTTCCTTCCTTCCTTCCTTCCTTCCTTCCTTCCTTCCTTCCTTCCTTCCTCTCTTTCTTTCCTTTCTCTTTCCTGCTTTCCTTCTTTCTTGCTTTCTTCCTTTCTTTTCTTTTTCTTTCTCACTTTCCCTTCTTCCCTTCCTCCCTCCCTCTTTTCCTTCCTTCCTTCCTTCCTTCCTTCCTTCCTTCCCTCCTTCCTCCTTCTCTTCCTCCCTCCCTTCCTTCCTCCTTCCTTCTTCTTTCTTTCTTCTTTCTTCCTTTCTTTCTTTCTTTCTTCTTTCTTTCTTCCTTTCTTTCTTTCTTTCTTTCTTTTTCTTTCTTTTTCTCTCTCTCTTTCTCTTTCTTTCTTTTTTCTTTCTTTTGCATGTAATTTTGTGCTAGGCCTGGGCTCAGTGCAAGACATACGATGCACAATTAAAGCAGGTATGGTTACTGAACTTCATGGAGCTTATACCCAGAAAGGCAGGCACTTAACAAGAATAAATAATAATTGTTAACTCTGGTAAAAGCCTTAAAAAATATATGTTCACATTTGAGAAATGAAGGAGTTAACAAATCAAGGGTAAGACAGGAACTTTTTAGACAGGAAAGGCAGTGCGTATGGAGAACTTACAGACAAAAAAGAAGCTTAGGAGAGAGGGCTGGGCGGCTGGAACACAGCATCAGGAGAGATGCTAATATAGAGTCTAGAGAGTGAGGCAGGCCTGAAACACCTGAGGCCTTATATGGTCCTCCATACTAATAGTAATAGGAAACTCAACTAGGCTGTAAGCAATTAAATGATAAGATCTTTGTTTTTGAAGATCATTCTGGAGGTTCAGTGTGGAATACATTATAGTACAGCAAGAGTCGATATATGAGGACAGGTTAAATGCTAGCACAATATATTAAGCCATAGATGATACTAATAGTCTTGGGATACAGTAAGTTCTTGTATCTAAGAAGCAATTAGTATACAAAAATAATATGACTGACCATCCAGTGGTTTGGTGAATATATGGTAGGTGAATAATAAGGTGTGATAGAAGTGACTCCAGCATGCAAGTAAACGGTGGGGCATTAGTTAAAATGGGAGTTTTGCAGGAAGTTTTGAGGTGCTTTGGCATATTTTGAGATGAAATGAAGAGTAGGGAGCTGCACAGTTGTATATTTCAGAGGAGAGATTTGCATGTGGGATAAAATTTTGAAAGATGCTGGTCTAGGGATAATATTTAATATCCTAAAAATGGATGAAATCATCTAAGAATTGAGAATCGCACAAGAGGGGACCTTGAAATGGAGGTTAAAATTACCCTAGAGTTCAATACTAGAGAAATAGGAACCAGTAAATTTGACTCACAAGGTAGAATCAGAGAATAAGAAAGAACATAAGGAGTATGTGTTGTTAGATTTACCAACAAAGAATCCGTTGGAGTTCCAACAGTTTCTGATGTGAATGAAAGATCAGATCAAGGTAAGGGTTGATGAATGACTATTAGATTTAGTAACTTGGAGGTCATGGTGACCTTGGGGAAAGCCATTTGGCAAAGTTGATGTTAGGTATAGGAAGGAGAAGCCTAATAGGAGTGAGCAGGATAAGGGAAATGGAATGGTGAATATAGACAGAATTGTAATTTTGACTTTAAAAAGTAAGGAGAAATCAGCAGCTGGCTGCAAGTAAAGCAGTAGTTAGAGAAGTATTGCCTTTTTTTTCTAAATTATAGGAGCAATTTGGTCATATTGAAATGGTAAACAGAAGCAGTCACTGAAAATATTTTTATACAATATAACAAAAAGTACACAAAAATATATAGTATGAAACAAGTCAGGATGAAGAAAGGGCCCAGAATCAAGGAATGTCAAGGCTGTATTATTTTTCTCTTATGTAGTTAGTGCTGAAAGGACTTACACTCTTTTCCACCACTTGCAAACCCAGAGGATATCACTTCAGTCTAGCCTACTAGAAAAGTCAAGGGGATTTACGAGTGAGGGTCCATGATGGCTTTTTCTGGGTCTGCCGTGGAAGCTGGAGGTACCATCTTTAATTAGCATTGGTTTTCCTCTCTTCTCCAAAGAAACAAAATCAGATTTTGTCCCAAAGGTATTGCTCCAGGAATCTTCCACATGTATAAAAGATCACATCCTCCAATATTTTGATGCCTTTTATTTGCAGATAATGTTTCTTGGAGGCATGAAATAAGTGGCTCTGTCTTCATTTCCCAAATTATCTACTACTTCAAAGAGTATTCTTGGAGTCATCATCTAGAAGAAATTTTTCGAAAGGTAGGGGTCTTCCTTTATTTTCAATGTTATGCCCCAGAAAATTTTGGAGAACCATTTGTGAATTTTTATAGGGAATCCCAAAGCTCTTAATTCATCTTCACAATCCTTCCTGTATTCCAAGTTTATTCAAAGATGGGGTCTTCCAAAATGCTACATAGAACCAGTGTGGGTTTTCCCAATAACCTGACTCTGATAGATTTGCTCACCCAGGGAATTCTTTTTAGAGTAAGAATTCACTTGTGTATGTGCTATATCTAAGGAAAAGCTAAAAATACCTTCTGTTTACATTACCTAGCTACAGCCTTAATACACACCATGACTTTTCTCACTCCTGAAAGAGTCAGGTTTTCCTTTTAGAACATCTCTAAAGGCTTTCTTTACTACTTTAGGTTCAACGTTCATTTGAGACACCAAATGTAGTGACCCAGTTGCCCACCATTGAAAGACTATCCATGACACGATATTTCTATCTCTTTCCTGGGAATTAAAACTCATAAAAAGCAACTCAGGTAAATATATTCTAGAAGTGGATTTGGGTGCTCCCTGTTCATCTATTCAGAAAGTCTGGATAGAATGGAGAATAATGATGGCATGTCAGCTGCCTGCTAGTTATAGAGAAGGCTTGTGTTATTTTCCTTTTCTTAGTGACCCCCAGTGAAATCCTGGTTTTATATTACATCAGTCATAGCATAATGGTTGTGTAAGTAATGGTAGCCCAATAGCGGTCAGCTAGAAAATCCTTTATGTCTAATTTCTCTCAAGGAACTACTCAGCGAGTGGGGAATATTGGATAATGATGTACGCGGAAAGAAAAGTCATTGGAAATGTGATGTATATCCAGTGTTTGTCTCTCTTCACCCAAAAGTCGCTTTTACTGAGCCATGCTCTCCTCTGTTTGTGATGAGGTTTTCCTGTACCATATGTTAGACTAGCTGCTAAATCTATGCTGAGGCAATGAGGCCCTAGTACAGATCTTCCCATTTGGGGATGACAGGTTCGTAGCCCTTTTGTGAAGGTATTTCTCACAGTAGAGATTAGTTATATTTACATCTTACCTCTAATAGCCAAATTACTCATGTTCTTTTCTTCTACTTTCTCTAGGAAAATGAAGGCATTATGGTATCTATGAATCTGCTGTATGAAAAGGTCAATTTTTGATTAAGAATATTTTTGTATCAAACTGCTCGCTCTCCATCTTTTGCAAATACCAGGCTAAAATCAATCTCATATTTTTGCTAAATTAATGCTTAATAAATTTTTATTATAAAATTGTGCTTGCTTTCTCATTTTGTCATAAATAAGTCATGCTTATAGGAGAAAAAATTAAGTATTAAAAATCACAAGAAAAAATTAATGAAAAAATAATCATTGTCAACCTTGTTAAAACTATTCACAAAACTCAAGTTATTTTATATAGCCTACTTATTTTGGATATGCAATTTTGTATCCTTTCATTATATTGTTATAACATTACTACTAGTAATAAAACTGTCCTAAACATAACTTTTAAGTTTATAATATTCATCAGGCATATATAGTATATACTATTTAACTTTCACCTGACTTTTAGATGTTGATTTCAATATTCATTTATTTTATTTTATTTTTTGTTTATTTCAATAATTTTGGGGAACAGGTGGTGCTTGGTTGCATGAGTAAGTTCTTTTGTGGTGATTTATGGTGCACCCATCACCCGAGCAGTGTACACTGTACCTAATGTGTAGTCTTTTATCCCTCAACCCACTCCTACCCTTTCCCCTAAGTCCCCAAGAGACCATTGTATCATTCTTATGGCTTTGTGTCCTTACAGCTTAGCTCCCACTTATGATTGTGAACATAGGATGTTTAGTTTTCCATTCCTGAGTTACTTCATGAAGAATAATGGTGTCCAATTCTGTCCAAGTTGCTGTAAATGTCATTATTTAATTCCTTTTTATGGCTAAGGAATATTCCATGATGTGTATATATATCACATATTCTTTATTCATTCGTTGATTAATATGCATTTGGGCTGGTACCATATTTTACAATTGCAAATTGTGCTGCTATAAGCATGCATGTGCAAATATCTTTTGTATAATATCTTTCTTTTCCTCTGGGTAGATACCAAGGAGTGAGATTACTGGATCAAATGGTAAATCTACTTTTAGTGCTTTAAAGAATCTCCACACTGTTTTCCATAGTGATTGTACTAGTTTACATTTCCACCAGCAGTGTAAAAGTGTTCACTTTCACCACATTTATATCAACATCTATTATTTTTTGATTTTCTGATTATGGCCATTCTTGCAGGAGTAAGATGGTATTGTATTGTGGTTTGATTTGCATTTCCCTGATCATTATAGACGTTGAGCATTTTTTTCCATATGTTTGTTGACCATTTGTATATCTTCTTTTAAGAATTGTTTATTCATACCCTTAGCCTACTTTTTGATAGGATTGATTGTTTCTTTCTTGCCAATTTGTTTAGGTTCCTCGTAGAGTCTCAATATTAGTCTCAATACAGACTGTGGGTTGTTTGTGCACTCTGCTGATTATTTCTTTCGCCATGCAAAAGCTCTTTAATTTAATGAAGTTCCATATATTTATCTTTGTTGTTGTTGAAGCAAGAAAAAAAATGTTTTGCATTTGCTTGGTCATAAAGTCTCTCCCTAAGCCAATGTCTAGAAGGGTTTTTCTGATGTTATCCTCTAGAATCTTAATGGTTTCAGGTCTTAGATTTAAGTCTTTGATCCATCTTGAGTTGATTTTTGTATAAGGTGAGAGATGAGGATCCAGTTTTATTTTTCTACATGTGGCTTGCCAATTATTCCAGTACCATTTGGTTAATAGGGTGTCCTTTCCCACTTTGTGTTTTTGTTTGCTTTGTCAAAAATCAGTTGACTGTATTTGGATTTATTTCTGGGTTCTCCACTCTGTTCCTTGGTCTATACACCTGTTCTTATATCAGTGCCATGCTGATTTGGTGACTACAACTTTATAGTATAGTTTAAAGTCAAGTAATGTAATGCCTCCTGATTTGTTCTTTTTGCTTGGTATTGCTTTGGTTACATGGGCTCTTTTTGGTTCCATATGAATTTTAAGGGTTTTTCTTCTAGTTATGTGAAGGAAGAGGGTGGTATTTTTATGAGAACTGCATTGAATTTGTAGATTGCTTTTGGCAATATGGTCATTTTTCACAATAATGATTCTATCCATCTATGAGCATGGGTTGTGTTTCCATTTGTTTGTGTTATCTATGATTTCTTTCAGCAGTGCTTTGTAGTTTTCCTTGTAGAGGTCTTTTACTTCCTTGGTTAGGTGTATTCTTAAGTATTTTGGGGGTTGAGTTCTTGATTTGATTCTCAGCTTGGTCAATGTTGGTGTATGGCAGAGCTACTGATTTGTGTACATTAATTTTGTATCCTGAAAGTTTGCCAAATTCATTCACCAGTTCTAAAAGCTGTTTGGATGAGTCTTTAGGGTTTTCTAGGTATAAGATCATGTTATGAGCAAATGTGACAGCTTGACTCCCTTTTTACTGATTTGGATGCACTTTATATTTTTCTCTTGTCTGATTGCTCTGGCTAAGACTTCCAGTACTGTTAAATAGAAGTAGTGAGATTGGGCATCCTTGCCTTGTACCAGTTCTCAGAGGGAATGCTGAGAGTTTTAATTATGAAGAGATGCTGGATTTTTTCAAAAGTTTTTTCTGTATCTATTGACATAATCATGTTATTTTAATTTTTAATTCCGTTTATGTGGTGTATCACATTTATTGACTTCTGAATGTTAAGCAATCCCTGCATCCCTAGTATGAAATTCACTTGATCATGTTGGATTACCTTTCTGATATGCTGTTGGATTCGGTTAACTAGTATTTTGTTGAGGATTTTTGCATCTATATTCATCAGGGATATTGGTTTGTAGTTTTCATTTTAAATTATATCCTTTACTGGTTTGGGTATTAGGGCAATACTGGCTTCATAGAATGATTTAGGGAGGATTCCCTCTTTCTCTGTCTTTTGGAACAGTGTCAGTAGGATAGGTATCAATTATTTTTTGAATGTCTGAAAAAATTTAGCTGTGAATTTGAATTTGTCTGGTCCTGGACTTTTTTTTTTTTTTTGGTTGGTAACTTTGTAAATTACCATTTCAATCTTGGTGTTTTCTGTTGGTGTGTTCAGAGTCTCTATTTCTTCCTGATTTAATCTAGGAGGGTTGTATATTTTCAGGAATTTATCTATCTCCTCTGAGTTTTTTAGTTTGTGCATAGAAAGGTGTTCATAGTAGCCTTGAATGATCTTTTGTATTTCTGTGGTATTGCTTGTAATATCTCACATTTCCTTTCTCATTGAGCTTGCCTGGATCTTCTCTCTTCTTCTCTTGGTAAATCTTGCTAATGATCTATTGATTTTATTTATCTTTTCAAAGCAGCAGCTTGTCGTTTCAGTTATGTTTTGTATTGTTTTTATTTCCATTTCATTTAGATCTGCTCTGATTTTTGCTATTTCTCTTGTTCTGCTAGATTTGGCTTCGGTTCTTGTTTCTCTAGCTCCTTGAGGTGTGACCTTAGAATGCCTATTTATGCTCTTTCAGACTTTTTGATGTAGACATTTAATGCTATGAACTTTCCTCTTAGCACCACCTTGACTGTATCCCCAAGGTTTTGATAGGCTGTGTCACTATTATTGCTCAGTTGTAAGAATTTTTTTAATTTCCCTCTCGATTTCATTGTTGACCCAATGATCCTTCAGGAGCAGATTATTTAATTTCCATGTATTTGCATGGTTTTGAGGGTTCCTTTTGGAGTTCATTTCCAATTTTTTTTCTACTGTGGTCTGAGAGAGTACTTGCTATAATTTTGATTTTCTTAAATTTGTTGAGACTTGTTTTGTGGCCTGTCATATGGTCTATCTTGGAGAATGTTCCATGTGCTGATGAATAGAAGTATATTCTGCAGCTGTTGGATAGAAAGTTCTGTAAATATTTGTTAAATCTATTAGTTCTAGGGTATAATTTAAGTCCATTGTCTCTTTGTTGACTTTCTGTCTTGACGACCTGTCTAGTGCTATCAGTGGAGTATTAAAGTCCTCAACTACTATTGTACTGCAGTCTCTCTGATTTCTTAGGTCTAGTAGTAATTATCTTATAAATTTGGGAGCTCCAGTGTTAGGTGCATATATGTATATATTTAGGATTGTGATATTTTCCTGTTGGGCTAGTCCTTTTATCATTATATAATATCCCTCTTTTGCTTTTGCTTTAAAGTTTGTTTTGTCTGATATAACAATAGCTACTACTGCTTGCTTTTGGTGTCAATTTGCATGGAATATCTTTTTCCATGCCTTTACCTTCAGTTTATGTGATTCCTTATGTGTCAGGTGAGTCTTTTTTAGACACCAGATACATGGTTGGTGAATATTTATTCATTCTGCCATTCTGTATCTTTTAAGTAAAACATTTAGGCCACTTACATTCAGTGTTTATATTGAGATGTGAGGTACTACTCTATTCATTGTGCTATATGTTGCCTGAATACATTTCTGTTTTGTTTTGTTTCTCATTGTGTTGTTGTTTTAAAGGTCCTGTGAGATTCATACTTTAAGGATATTCTATTTTGGTGTGTTTCAAGAATTTGTTTCCATATTTAGAGCTTCTTTTAGCAGTTCTTGTAGTGCCAGCTTGGTAGTGGCAAATTCTCTCAGCATTTGTTTGACTGAAAAAAACTGTCGCTTTCCTTCATTTGTGAAGCTTAGTTTCATTGGATACAAATTCTTGACTGATAATTGTGTTGCTTAAGGAGGCTAAAGATAGGACTCCATCCCTTCCAGCTTGTTGGGTTTCTGCTGAGAAATCTGATGTCAATCTGATAGATTTTCCTGTATAGGTTACCTGATGCTTTTGCCTCACAACCCTTAAGATTCTTTCCTTTGTCTTGACTTTAGATAACCTGATGACTATGTGCCTAGGCAATGATCTTTTTGTGATAAATTTCCCAGTTGTTCTTTGAGCTTCTTGTATTTTGATGTTTAGATCTCTACCAAGGCCAGGGAAGTTTTCCTCAATTATTCCGTCAAATATATTTTCCGTACTTTTAGATTTCTCT